TTTATTGATTGAGATAGTTTATTTATGTGTATGCTTATATATTTCCAAAAATTAATTCAATGTCCTCTTACAGTAATCAAAATTAGTTAACAGGGCAGGCACAGTGGTTCACACCTGTAATCCCAACACTTTGGGAAGCCGAGTTTGGGGTTAGGAGTTTGAGACCAGCTCGGCCAACATGATGAAACTCTACTAAAAGTACAAAATCAGCCGGGCATGGTGGTGCACGTCTGTAATCCCAGCTCCTCAGGAGGCTGAGGCAGGAAAATTGCTTGAACCCAGGAGGCAGAGGCTGCAGTGAGCTGAGATTGTGCCACTGCACTCCAGCCTCAACAACACAGCAAAGCTCTATCTCAAAAAAAATTAGTTAACAGTCTGAGATTAACTATTTTAGCAAGGAAACACATTTAACCAAATATGGCAGTAAACTGGAACCTTTCAGAGCGCCGCACTGAGGACAGCAACACGTCTTCAATCGGCTTCTTGGGGTTTTCCTCCAGGTCCGTCATAATTGCTCCAGATTCAGACAGTTTCCATTCCAATTCATCTCTTGTCAGGTTCATGCCGCCAAACACCAGAGGACCAATAAACTGAGCCTTGATAAACAAATATCGTGGGCAGATTCCTATCCGGATAATTGGGTATGCAGGTTGTTGAAATGGCTTTGATAAATTTGACATCAGGAAACCTCCTGGCAAGTCCACTGAGGTGCTGATTTATCAGGGCACACAGGGGAATTCCTTGTTTGTAAAGGTGCAAGACGACCCACAAACCCTCGCCAGCTTTGGTAACTTCTTGAACATAATCCTTCCCTGAGATCTCTAAAACTTCTCCAAATTTATTCTTCAGTTTAGTTGCTTTCCACTCAGCCAGTCTCTGCCATCTGTACATTTCAATAGCATGTTCATCCTCCTCATTAAACTCATCTTCATGATCCTCCAGCTCTTCCAAAGTCATATCTTCATATGTTTTCACCACTGACTGCTGGAGGATGTGCTGCTCCTCATCTGACTCCTCTTCCAGTTCTTTCAGACTTTCCTTGGGGGGTAAGATACCCTTTTTGCGTAAGATGTCATTCCACTCAGTGTCTGCGTTGGGGTCCTGCATCTTGTTTCCAGTTGCTCCCATTATTGCCTATTTCATCTAGTCTTATGGTTTATTATTATATCTTTAAAAATAGCTAAAAGAGATAATTTTAAATGTTCTTGTGTAAAGAAATAAATATTTGAGTTGATGGATATGTTAATTAACCTAGATTTGATCATTCCACAATGTATGCATGTATCGAAACATTACATTGTACCCTACATATAGATACAGTTATATTTGTTAAAAGTAAAAATAGTAACATAACAATCATATATGTGTTAATTACTCCCAGTATCTATCTCTGCTTTATACTTCTTCAGTGAACTCCAGATTCAATTATTTCACTACCTACTTGATAGTTCCACATGAAGATACTTATTAGAATTCTCCTATTTAACATGACCCTAATGGACTTCTGATCACATTGCCAATACCATCTGCATTCTTCTAGTTTTCCAGAACAAAACCTTGGAGTCATTTTGCCATCTTTTTTTGTTACTTTGTTTTCCCCTCAAATTCAGTGAATTATTAAATCTCATGTTTTCTCTTTAAAGTACATCCAGAATTGAGCCTCGACCCCTGCTACTATTCTATTTAAAACCATCATCATGTTGTGTGGATGGCTGTAATAGTCTTCTAACTGGTCTTTTTACTTCTACTTATTTGCATTGCAGATTATTCTATGAAAATATTGGTCTGATGCTGTCACTTATTTGTTCAAACTCTCTGATGATGTCTCATTTCTATGACACCATCTGTAACTACATTCACACTCACTCCAGGCACATTGCTCCCCAGCTGTTCTTTGTATAAACAAAGGATACTTTGATCTCAGGGTCTCTGCATTTTTTCCTAACTCTATCTGGAATAACATTTATGTGAAAATACATGTTACTTCTACTTTACGTCTTTATTTACCTCTTCAGTAAAATTTTCCATGTCATCCAATTTACATTTTGTTACCACCAGTCTTTCCCACCTAGGCTTAATTTATTGTTATCTAAAACACTAGAAAACTAAGAATTTTCCCAGTGCCTAGAAGAGGGCCTGTCAGATAGGAGACATTAAGTATTTGTTGAATGAACACATACACAGCCACACATGTTAATATCTGATCCAAAGGAGTCACAGAGTCTGTTCCAGTGTTAAGAAAGTCTGAACTCTCTGATACACCATTTCTATGAATTTCAACCAATTACTTAATTGCTAAGACATAGTGAAATTACCATCATCAAAAAATGCTGTTATATGAATCCTATACATTCACATTAATTTTATTGTTTATAAACATATATAATATTAAATTCATAACTCAAACATTATTTCTATTTATCTTTGATAATTCTTATTCCAGAAGTATTTGTTTTATGCATATAATAAGAAATCAGCTGTTTGTATTCTGATTCTTCACATTTTAAAGCAAAACAGCTGTCTTTGACATTTATTTTCACATGCTTCTCTCTTGAGCTAGACATGTTACTCAAGATTGATATTTTTTTCCAGGTTGAGTATTTAGTTCAAATATTTTATTGCATTTATTTGACCACTGCTTCAATTTGACTGTCGTAGACAGATGGTGCACGTGACAGTGATAAAACCCAGGCACAAGAGAATACTTGTTGGGTCATAGGTGGTCAAGAGTATAGAGAGTTTTCACAACTTTTGTCTTCCTGTAAATTAATAATTCCTGTGTATTAATAATTCTGTATGACTGACATTATTGTTATTAGCAAATCTTTGAGAGAGTTGAGAGAGAGAGAAAAAGAGAGAGAATAACTGCAATGGCAAGAGTTAAATCATGAGACTGGACTACTCTATAAGCTAAATGAAGAAAATAATTCATGGAGTAGACACTTACCAGCTATGCCAAATGCTGCAAACAGGATCAAGAAAAGTGAAGATTAAAAAACAGCCATTGTCATTAAAAAATACAGGGACCATCGATGATCTCTTAAAAATAAACATTTTTATTGCAGTTGTAGAGTCATGAAAGGCTAACATGACGTTTGTAAGCCTTCATTAATTAGGGTGGTAGTCATGAATTAAGTGAGAACAATTTTCTCCAGCCTTGTTCAAGTACATGGTTGCAGGCAGACAAGGGGCAGTTGTTATAAATATGTATTTTAAAAGATGCAGGCAGAGAAGAGGCTGTTTGATTTCATTTGTATGAAATTTTGAAAAAAAAAAAGCAAACCAGGAAAGAGAAAGCAGAGATTTATTGTTGCCTGGAGCTGTGGGTGAGAACAGAGATTAACTGAAATGACATGAAAGCTCTCATTTGGAAAATAAAATGTTCTAAAACTGATACATGGTTGATGGCTGCAAAACTGCATAAAGTTATTTAAAAAATTGAATTTTACATGTCAGTGAATTTTATGATATACACAATATACTAAATAAAGTCTTTTAAAAAATAAACACATATACGATTTTTACATTATAAATATTAATAAGTATGCAACTAGATTAATTTCTCACCAATAACCGCTTGTATAACTATATTCAATTTCACATTAGACATAATATATAACTTGTTGTTCTTTATTTTAATGGCTTATACTCAGTTGGAGATTTATAAATATGTAGCTTATTTCTTTAAAATGCAAAATTCTCACAGATCTAATATACAAGACCTGATGAATCCTAAGTGAAAAATAGATCAATAAAACTGTACACTTTACTGCATTTGTGAATTTAAATATTGTACAAAAACTTTAAAAAGGAAAATCTAAGCTTGAAGAAAAAATAATATCTTATCGTTAAAGGGTACAAACATACAATAAGTAGAGGGAATAAATTAAATGCTTGATAGCAGAGTAGGATGACTATATTTAATGAAATGTTATGTAATCAGGTGATGGGCACCCTAAATACCCTCACTTGATAACCGTGTATTATATACATGGCCTGAAATTTCAAAAAAAAAAAATCATGCACCCTATACATTTGTACAAATATAAATAAAATAAAAATGAAAAGAAACACAAGAAGTAAAAATGCTTCAAAATTACAACTTGTAAAATCAATATTATTGGTCATTTACCTTCTCTGAAATTTCATCCTCATTTTGCCCTATCTTCTGTGGAACTGGGGTATGCAAGAATATTCCTTCAGAATCTGCAGTTGAAAAATGTTTCTTGATTTTATGTTGTTTGTATCAACAATCACCTCAGTCAAGCAATACTTATTAATCCTGAGTCGATGGTGGGGTCAAAATGTAGGAAAAGTTATTTATGAGTGTCCATTCTCCAGTGTGATATACACTTTCACGACATTATCAATGGCACATTGAAAATGATTGAGATACAAAATATCAAACAACAAAAAAAATCAGTCTCTGCAGTTCCACAGGATAGTCCAGTTTCTCTTCTGAATCACACTGGAGCCCATTTCTCCTCAGATTGAAGGCAGTGCATCCCCATCTGTATTCTCCATCATGGAGTGGGGAGACCCTGAAAGTCCTGCTGTGTGTGGGTAGCTAAGACCCTGGGCCCTGATGCAGAGCTCAGGTATCTCCTCTGATAATGTCCTTGGCTCACGTGGCCTGATCTGAGAAGGTGTGACACATGAGAGACACCAGCATGGGATCCGGGAAAGGGGCTGTAGAGGATCTCAGAGATACAGGAAATTGTTTTCCAGGAATAGTCCAACCCTTTTCTGAGCAAAAGGAAAATAAATTTTAGGCTACTATGGACTATGGACTTAGGTGGGCTTGAAGCCTTCCATGCTCAGCAAGGAAGGTAAAGGGAAAGAACATGGCTTGGCCAGAGTGCAGGAAGCACAGCCAAGGACAAAGGCCCCCTGAGGCTCATGGAAGCTCTTGGTCACTGGGCCAAAGGGCCACTTCAGAGTATCGTGTGCTGTCCCAGAGCCCTTAAGGTGACAACTGAGGTTGCTTTCTGCCTGAGTTGGCTCAGCATTATGGAATCCAAGGGCCTGGGAAGCTTCAGCAGGGCAAGGAGAGGAAACACCAGACACAAACACACACAATGGAGCACAACTGCTTTGTTGTGGGGAAGCTTAAATTCTTTAAACCCTTTAGTAGTGATGTAAAGGCAAATAAGCATCATTTGGACTCATAGTGAAGTTCTTGAAACTGTCTCTGCATCACAGTTTTTTTTTTTCTGGTAGGATTTATTTATTATGGAGAAACAGGAAAATAGAAACATTAATTACCATTACTAGCAATTACTACTAACAACTTCTTACATACACTGCCGACTTAAATGTTTAATATGTTTGCAAATGAAAACAAATCAAGAAAATGATACTTTATCCTGATAATTCCATCAAAAAGCACTTTTTCTCAACTATGCATCTTTTAAAAAATACTAGATTACAATCAGTGGAGAAAGGGAAAGAAAAGCTTTAAAATGCAACCTGACTGTGTTGTGTAAATGGTGATTCTAAGCACTACTGAAGAACCTGTGGAGATCAGAAGGGCAGCAAGGCAAGGGGAGAGAGGAAAAGTGACACCACTGTAAAAGGAAGAGTATGTATCTCCCTTCCTGAACTTTGACAAATATCTTAAACTGCACATGTCCAGAACTAATTCTTTTTTTTTTTTTTTTGAGATGAAGTCTTGCACTGTTGCCAGGGCTGGGGTGCAGTGGCACAATCTTGGCTCACTGAAACCTCTGCTTCCTGGGTTCAAGCAATTCTCCTGCCTCAGCCTCCCAAGTAACTGGGATTACAGGTGCCCGCCACCACTCCTGGCTAATTTTTTTTTTGTATTTTTAGTACAGATGGGGTTTCACTATGTTGGCCACGCAGGTCTTGAACTCCTGACCTTGTGATCCACCCACCTTGGCTCCCAACCTGCTGGGATTACAGGCATAAGCCACAGAGCCCAGCCTTAACTCATCTTTTATCCCATTCCTTACCTAAAACCCCAGTACACCATGTTACAGGGATGAACTGTGTTGACAATTTCAAAATAAAACTCTGGTCAGGGCTAAAACTCAGGCCTACTAGAGACTGGTACATCTGGGCAATAGAAATCATAAGATTGAGGCAGGACAGTGA